ACAACTGTAAACCGTAAACAAGGTAAGTTGCACTGCTAAGTTCAAAGTCTGCTTTGTATAGTTGCGTGATGTAGAGGTTCACCGTGTTATCCAAATGCTTCTTACTGATGGGTTTCCTTTTCGCATGAGCCCAGGTCTTGAAAGCCGCGATGCTTCGCTGATACCGATTCAAGGTCAGCTGTGACACCTTCTTGGATCTCAACAGCAAAGAGTCACGCACTGGCTTTCCATCCAGACCCTGTCGGAGGCGCTTCACCCCAAGGCTCTCAGACCGCCTTGGTGTTTGTTTTGTATGGACGATCGTAGGAGCTGGCTTTGATGGCATCGATGTCCTGCTGTGTGAACTGGCCGAAGACGACCGGGCGTTCTTTGATGAACCTGCTGGCTTCCCCGAGCACGTCACGGTGGGCTTCCGAGATTTTCCAATCATCTTGATCGTCTCGATTGGAAGTTTCTGGAGCCTGGCGCTCCGCTGCACCGGACGCTTCTGCTGCAAGGGCGGAACAGAAGTCATTTCGTCTTCTCCACCCCAGTCTGCCAAAGTGAGCCACAGCAAGTCTGGACCACTCCCGGCACAGCTCTGCCTGCTGGATACGCACCGGCAAACACTTCCCGTCCAGCTTCACTCGGGCGGGTCCGACTAACTGCACATGCTGATGTTGCCCAGGACACCTTCGAGCCAGCTTCAAGAATGTCTCTTCGTTTGTCAACAAGGCCGTGGACTTTCGGTAAGGAGCCCCGTACTGGCACATATATGTCAAACTTCACATAAAACACTCCCGGTTCACAGAACAAATCAGCAATGGGTGCAAACTCCCACAGCCGGCTAGTCTGGGGGTTCTCACTGGAAAACTTTACGTTGTGCTTCAAACACTCCCTAGCCACCCTACATGTGAAAAGGGCTGTGGCAACAGAAGGCTGTTCCTTGATTTGTGCTTTCCTCAGGTTTTTGATGTTGTGTCGAGCTCGACTCCACACTGTGCACGGTGTTCCCATATGAACCCACCACACCAGTTTTGCTGCTATCAAGCCCAACACGAACTTCTGAACCCGCGGATTAAGGAGGTCATACACCGTGGACTTGGTGTGTTCGACAGGAGGCCAAGAGCGAAGACCATTAGCTTCGGTCAGTCTTCCCGCGCCAGAAAACCGCTCCAAAAACCTTGAGGACCAGCCTGAGGTTGTTCCAGGTGGTGATGACCTCCTGCCACTGCCCGCCGCCCAAACTTCGTGGAGAGGGCGCCCCCGATGGCGCCGTTGGTCGTCCGGACAGGGCGAGGAATGTCATCCCAAACCATCGAGATGGTCCATCTGCAGGATTGCATGTTGAATTTGTATGTCTTAAATGTACGCTCATTGAACCCCCAACCAAATAAGCTGCTGCTCTTCGACAAACTCTATTCATGCCAAATGCGCTGCTTCTGCCTTTAGATAGGGCCAATATAGATACCATGGAGTCTGATAGCAGCAAATTGCATTTTCCGAGATTATATGTCGTCCGGCTCAATCTCCTAATAGCCATCAAACAAACCTTTGCTTCCTTTGTGTTAATATGTTCATGTGGATCCTGCCATGCCTTTGCTGCAACCAGTGTCCATCTAGTCGAGTCAGACCAACCAGAACAAATATGCGGAATACTGTACGCTTCCACTGCTTCAGACTTCCCTGCCAAAGGTTTGCCAAAAATGCGGTTCCGCTTGTTTCCAAACGTCTTGGACCCGGCTTCTTGTCTCACCTTCTCCTGGAGCGTCCGCTCAAAGGTCGTGTTGCGTCGCTCCCCAGCGAAGGGAGTTGTTCCTGAGATGTAAAACAAGGGAGGTTCTTCTACTGGTCTCTCTAAAAATCTCCACTTCTCATCATACAAAAACTCACGCTTGATGCTCTGCACGGTTGCACTGCATGTCATGAGACTGTACCCTCGGTCAGATGAATCTCCAACATGTACCTCTGAATTGACTGCTTGAGACAGGTCTGTTTCAACTGTGAAAAGCAATCCCATCACCATTCGCAGTTCCTTCCCAACTGAGGCCCAAATCGGAAAACGATGTCCCAGGTGCGCAGCTGCAAATTTGTGTGTCAATGCTAACACTGACATGAGGGGCCTGCATAACAAGAAGTGGTAGTTCACATGAAATGACCAAGCCACAACCTCATGGTCTCCCCGCTGATACGTCTACGACGCAACAAACACTTGGTGGCATACCACAGTCTCCATGCTCTGGCTGAAGTTGCACGAATTGTGACCCTGTCTGAAAAAGAAAAAGTCAGACCAAGAGTGTTGAAAGAAGGAGCTCCGTCAACATTGTCAACTTCAAAAGGGATACCAAGTCTTTGGAAATGTTGTTGAACGCGTTGCATGGCTGAACCTGCTTCGCCATGGATACCGCTAAACAAGTGGACATTGTCAACATACACACCAACTGGAGGGAGCCTGACTTGACCGGAGGGGCCTTCTCCTTGTCCCGGATGAGCTGCGATGCATCTTCGCCTAGGGCGACAAGACACTGGTGTGAGATGATCTCTTGTGCCATGTAGAGGACCCAGCTCCACCCCATAGGCATCCCTGCAAAACACAAATCAACCGGTGTACCATATTCCAGGGGCCCCTCTGTCTGATCCTCTTCAGAATATATTGAATCAAAGAACATGCCAAACTCTTCCAACTCCAGTCTGCATGCACTGTCACCAGTTGAAAAACCAAGAACTAATACCTGGCAGGCTGAAATTGCAAAAGCAATCTTAACATCCCCTGTCTCCCCCGATGGAGAAGAGGTGGGGTCCATGAAAAAACCCGTTCTCGTTCAATGTATCTGGATTGAAGTCAAGACGAGCGAGACCCGCCGGGGTGGCCAGCCGAGTCGTAGGCGGTTGTCGCAACAAGGCATTGGCTTGTCTACAATCAACGATGAGTCTTTGCTCCCGGGTTTATTTCCCTTCTTTCCAACGGCAAACAATCCCATCCTGGCTTTTTGTCTGCGCCGGATGGTGAGGAGGCCACAGTCGTAGAGCTTCTTGTACAATGCAAATCGTCTAGGACGACTCCTCTTAAGCTGAAGATCCCAGTGCGGCTCCACCAGATCTCCCGAGGTTCGCATCTGCTCCAACTCCTGTACTGGCCTTTCCACCAATGAAGAAAAATGCTCAATGTAACCCCTCACGGCCGGAGGAGCCAACTCCCAGGCCGATGTCGGTTCAAGCTTTCGACTCAATATTTTCATAAACCTCATCTGGGTTGAGTCCCACAACATTCTTCGCCTCCTGCACATACAGGTTTGGCCCATTCCCCAGCTCCCGAAGTGCGCTTTCTTCCGTCATCTCCAGAGGCCGTGGACCATAGGCTGCAACTCTGCGTTTGACATCATCCATCATCCACAACTGTACACGTGTCAAAGGGAATTTGTCATCAGCATAGTCACTTTGAAAAACAGCTGTAGCCAGTGAGTTCAAGCCTGCAAAGGCCGAATCCACCCGCTCCCGCGCTTGCCGCGGCTGTCCGAGTCTGGGCAAAGGGAAAGGATCACCGTGCCGCCGTCGTGCCGAGGGAAAGCGAAGGCTGAATTCGTCCCATCTGCATGCAGCTGCTTCTTCAGGGTGAGGCAAAGGAAGGTCCTCAGCAGCAACCTCACCCTCCACACTGTACATCATGTGGCCGGCGGAGGCTCAGAGCCTCCGCCGCCCTCGAATTGATAAGACCCCTCAGGAAGGTAGTTGTTGAACTCGCTGCGCATTGCCCAACGCACAAGCAACCCCTGCTGGCCAAACTTTCCAATCAGCTGAACTGTGCGCATAAACTCTGGGTGATGGGAGGCACGCTGAAGGCTGTCAGGCCTAGCTCTTCCTTAATGAACCCAATTAATTACCTCCGGAATTCGCCCTGTGTTGGCCCGGCCGTGCGCGAGAGCAAGAAGGCAAGAGAGGATCAGGGAAAGTTTCGCAGCTGCCTCTTCCATCTCCTCGTTGCTGCTGTGGGGCAGGCCAAGCATTCGAGCCCCTTCGGTGATGCTCGGGTCGCGAGCTGATGCCCTCAACTCTCTCGTAGCATTGATGGACACTTGACGGCGGGGCACCAGGTTTGTATAGACCACTAGGGTCTTGAGGTACAATGTGAGAGCGTCCCCGACGCTTGCATCATACTGACTGATCAGCGCGAGGATCGCGAGGTATGACGGATGTGTGAATCCGACAGAGGTCACCGGAGCGCGTACGACGCTCTGCCGCGCTTGAATCACGAGTCCTTCCTCGACAGTGAGATATTCCGCTCCACCACTCAATTCGGGCCTCGAGGATGAAGCTCGGATTCCGGCGTTCCCTCCATGAGCCGAGAGTTTTGCACCTGCGGGTGCTACCACAACCTTTGGCTCAACGCTGGCTTGTCCCTTGCATTCTGGCGGAGCGACGAAAACGTCCTTCCGTCGATTCTTGGCTTCCCTTCCAGACCTCAAGATCTCGAACCAGAATTGGAGTTCTCCGCTTGTCGCAACGATCGCATCAACAGCGTTGGGAATTGTTGAGATCGCTGGGAAAGAAGCTTCCTTCGTTTCTCAGCGCATAGTTTCCACTGCACCAAAACGAAAGAGCTTGAGGTGAAATAGCGGGTTCATGACTGCTCAACTGGGATAAATCCGCCGGCCCTGGGGCACGGCGTGTTTTGGGTAGTTGGTTTTTTGTTAGTTCTTTGTTACGTTTGTTAAGCTATGTCTTGTCTGTTTTAGTGCTCCCCCGGGCGGATTTTTGAACGGTCTAACCTGACCCCCCCCCTCCCCCCCCTCCTATCTTTTCAAGTCATATATTTATTTTGCCTTTCATCTGGTAGGTGTTCGAGGACTGATTAGCAGCAACTCTTTGTGTTCTTTATCTTTTCTCATTACATATAATACATATGATCTTCTTCTTCATCTTATTGACTTCCGTCTTCTTCTACATCGTCATTCAGTATCCTGATGTTTCTTTTCTGTTTCTTGTCCTTTCTGCTTTAAAGCCTAATGCGGCAACCACTTCTCCTTGCAAAGGCTCGCCGCAGCATCTCGGGCACGAAGACATCGCGTAGACTTGGCCAGTCGGTGTCGCACAGACTCCTTAGGGATTTCCACGGTTTGGGACGTCGCGATACGTCGCGACTCCATGGGTGGTAATTCAGAACCTTGTGATTGCACTTCAACAGCCATGTGGTCAAGCCAGTAGCCTACATGGTAAGTCAAAAATAAGAAGAAAAACAAAGGCATGTTACTTTATACATCTTTATACTTTTTCTGACATGGCTTGGAGGGTATTTGGGGGGAGTGGTAAACTGGGTTGCAATAACCACGAATACACTCTGACGAACACATCCCATGGAAGTGGATGGCAAATGGCCCCGAAAGGAAGACGACGTTCTTTTACAAACAGGGGGTGAACTCCACTTCCATGTTGCATGTGTTCGTCGGAGATTAAATCAATATTTGCTGATCGATTGGTTGGAGGATAGTATACAAGATTCTGTGCCCATAACCCATTCGGCTTGATTCCTGTGAAAATGTCTACACTCCCTGAAATAGTCATGGAAGTGGATGGCATGGCCTCTTGGATGACCATTTTCAGGATACCAAACACATGGTGCACTCCGCTTCCATTGCTATTTCAAGGAGTGCGCATAGGAACGATCGACCTGATACAGATTCCACATTAGCATCAACTCTCTGCGCCGAAATGGTCAAAAGTGGGCCGACTCCACTTTCTTTGTTCTTGGTTTCCTCCACGAACAAGGAAACTGGCAGATGATGTTCCTCTACTACAGGTGCTTTAGCACTAGGTGACTTTGTTGACGGAAATGATGATATGAAAATGATCCAACCACCTGAGGTCGACCTAGGTGGGAGGTCCCATCTTCAACTCTGCAGCTCGGAGTATCAAATAGACGATGAGCAGGCCCAGGTCTGAGGTGCCTGGCTCGGAGTCCAGGGGGTCGGAAAGCGATGGCCTCCATCCTAGAGAGGCGATGGCCTCCATCCTAACAGATCAAGAAATCACACGCATGGGTGTTCAGCATCTGGATCACGACGACTCCCCGAAGCACGGGGTCTTCCAGGAAGCGCCTTTGCGTGTGCGCTTCTGCGTGTCGTTGATAAAGCCTCGGTGAGGCGCAGCCAAACGACTGTGACGATCTTGGATTTGCTGGTGCCGCAAGCGGAAAGAACATAAACTACAATCTTCACCAGTAAAGGAACATGATAAGATAGTTAGTACACATCCATACAATATACTAATATATCATAGTAATAAAATAAGCATAATAATACAAGATTTCCCCAGAAAAGGATGTACCCATATGTACCCAGTGCAGGATTCTACCAATCACCCAATCCTCAAAACCACCAATTATAGAGGGGTAGATTAGATGCCAGATGATGCCAGGTACCATGAACTTGGTTGTCCACGACACGGTTTCTCCCCTATTCGTCCACCAACCAAGGGTCAAAGGCCATCATATGGCTGGTTTGAAGCACTGGTCCTCCACTTTCACACTTGAGATCAGCGCGATCCTTCTTTCACAACCCGGCCATCCATGAAAGACATCCCATTCACTACCCAACCCTGGCACAAAGAACCTTGAAGTAGAAGACCGACTGTTGAGTATTCTTCCCAGCGGCCATCCACTTCCATGTTTCTTGGATCGGGGTTATAAGTGCACCAGAAAACTGACATGGACCACACTTTCTGACCAATTCAGGTGTTGTTCCTCCGGAAGCACTGACTAGAAAGCGATGAAATCATGTTTTTGGCTGTCGTGTTCCGGGCCCACTGTTCATGTGTTTAGACCGTTCGATTCCCGGTTCCCGGTTCCCTCGTGTCACTGAGACGGTCACTCAAGGACCTTCAGCCAGGACACCTGTGACCTTCTGTTCTGCCAGCTCTTTGATCTCCGGATATTCTTCAGCCATCCTCAGGCGTTTTTCACCGAGACCAGACTGCTCGGACCATGTGCTCGGTCAGGCCGATGAAGCCCAGGCGGGGTGGGTGGTGTGATGGATTTTCGGGAAGATCTTCATCCCAGAGTAGAAAGGCTGGGCCTTGGATACACTATAGAACATAAGATACCATTTGGGCTCTTCAAACCAACTGGTGAGTGTATTTGACATGTTTGACTTTCTCCAGTTGAGACTTAAAGTAAATACATCGCGCCACTTCCAAGCACTCCACTCCCAAATTCAACAAATTCACTTTGCGGTATCTGGAGCTCACCAAATCACACCGTAAACCCGACACAAATTATTAAATAGTTCGTACCCAAACGCCAAACGAAGACAGAAACAGGTACATTGTATTCATGTTCAAAGCTATACAAACCTAGACTCTAGCTTCTTTGGGCGCTGTTCCAGTCCCCTCAAATTCGGACCCAGAGGTCAGAGTCATAGACCCCACATCAACCACGCACGGAGGCGGAGGCTCCGCGGTGCGCATGCACGCGGGCTCTCAACGAAAACGCGCGTGGTGGTTGACGCCTCTGCGACGACCTAACGCGATCTGGCCAGGAGGCTGGAGCAAGAGACGGTGGATATCGCAGTACATCTGCACCTCGTTTCTCACGCGCGTTACGCGCGCTACGTCGCGCTAGTCGGCTCGCGCGACGACGAGACGAAAAGGGAATGAGGAGATGGCTCGAGCCCGGTGTTTCTCACGAGTCGGTCAGCCCGGCAAGGATGGAATCGAGGGTATCTGATGGTGAGGGTTCATTTCCCTTATTGGACCAACTCAGTCTTCGGCTCGGTTTTTCTGCGAAGACCTGCATTTCCTTCGGTAAGTGTACCCTCCCTGCCACCCTGCCACCCTGCCACCCTGCCGAAATCCATCCGACGTGGGATTTGGCTTCGGACGCCCACAAAAACAGGATAAGCTTTCCACTGTTTAGGGGATTCACTCATGCATGTTTTTTTTCAGGCGGTTTGGGATGGTTTGGGTCATATAACGCCTCTGGATTCACTCATTTTTCCACACCAATCCACCCGCTCTTCTCGGCCAAAACCAACTCCGAGCGCACTGGCGCGCACAGGCTCGCGCCGGCCGTTGGACCCGAGGGACGCTCCGCTGCGACGCTTCGGCGCGCTGCCAGACGTCGGCGGAGCGCACGAAGCCCACCACGGCGCAGCACATCAAGCGCGCACAGACCTGCCTGGAGCGCCGGGGAGAGCTGTCGACCCGGAGCTGTATTGGGTCCACCAAGCTAAGGAGAACTGCGCTAGCAGATGTTCTATGATTATTAATTGGGGAGAGCCATCGGTCTATACCAATGGAATTTTAGGGAGAGCTGTGTGCTATTGAATCCGATAAGATTGGATGGATTCGATTGTGTTTCTGTTTTTTCTCTGCTCCTAAAAGGCGGACTTTGGGGCTTGGTGTAGTGTGGGTATAACATGGTATAACCGTGAAAACTGCCCAAGTGGATGATGAGGATAGTGTTGACATCATCTTCTCTGGTCATCGACCGACTGTTCCGGTCACGAGACACTAGATCCTGGAATTTCAGAGAGAAGTGAATCCTACCCAAACACGACCCTGGACCATCATATGGTGGGGTCGGACCCGAATCCTCTGGAGGGGTCTGGGGTCTCAAATCGGTGTTGAGGCACCCAGGGCTGTTTGGAGGGCCTGGGTAGTAGGTGATGGCCCCTACCCTGCAGGCCCTGCACTGACTCACGTCTCCCCTGAGAGTCCAGTTGACCATGAGAAAAATGGTCTTTCTATAGGTGACCCGAGTTTAGGAATTCCCTAAAAACTGTGGTGGTTCCCAAAATCGTCGAACTGGGCTTCTACTTGCATTTGCTGTCCAGGATCCAAGAAAAACATATTCCGCATGTCAGTGGATTTATCCAGCTCGGGACAATAAATCACCTGATTCGCAAGACCAGGGACTTCTAGACAGTCTCTGAAAACCAAGAATCCTTCAGTCTGAAGGGGGTCGGAGAATCCTCTCCCTCTTCGTACTCCGAACCCCAAGCAAGTCGCCCCCGGACGTCACCCGAATTCGGCTAACGCTAAGCGGCCCTCCCAGGAGTCTTCACCAGTCGATCCAGGACTTTGACAACGAGTCACTCGCTGGTCAAAGAACATGGTTTCAGTGCAACTAAAACATACCCCTGGAAGTCCAAAGACTATTTCTGGCACCACCGAGCTAAAGGAATCTCCTTTTCGGGTCACCTAAAGACCTATTTTAACATAGTCTTGGACTTCTAGGGATACTAAAACCATCTAAGACTAAGACTAAGACCTATATTATAGAAACTCCCTGGTTTCTTAACATAGTGGCTGCTGGCGATCCACTGAATTAAGGAACCCATGACCAGTGGATCACTGGTGAAAGGCGACCCACTCCCTGGATCACCCACTCCCTAGGATTAAGGTGACCCTGGATCTGGATCCAACAAAACACAACACCTTTCACCGCCGAAGCCACAGGGCATCGCTGGGCTTGAAGGCAGTGTTCAGCTGCGTGGCGATCAAGGAGAAAGCCGATGGGGCGAAGGTCCTGCCGCTCGTGGTGTCGTGGGTCATGGCACCATGAGCTGCTGTGGTAACACGACTGGACCTGGACCTGATCCGAACTCTTCCCAGATATACACACTCGAGCTCTGGTATCAGGTATGAAGAGGGGGTGAACCGTGATATAACAAAATGTAGCACAGGGCACGAAGAAACGAATTCATGGTTGACCTACCTGGGAGGTCAAGCTGCCAAGCTACATGATGGACCAGACCTACCAGTTTTTGATCCACGGCCATGTGGCCGGGTGGCGCAGCCCCCCCCGGCCAGCGCCCAACTCGGAGGCGTAGCTCCTGGAAAGGGGAAAGTGTCTTTCTTGATAACACCTACGGTTTCGGAGAGGTTGAATAATTGTGGGCGGCCAATCTTTGGACCTGGTCCTCGGATTCCTGATCTTTCAATTCAACAGCATTAACCATGGCACTCCATGGAACTGGCATCTTTACCTACTCAGTATATCGGGGTGGTTGAAAAGATTGAGAAGGGCGATCAATCCCAGTGCCATGGAGTCTGTCCTCACGATGTCTTGGACTATGAGGCCCGGTGAACTGGGTCCTTGACACGGCCCAATTGCTCGGGTTGATGTACCTCGCAGCAAATTCGTTTGCCGCACTGAACGACAGCACGACCGGCCGGTCTGGAGGAGTGGGACAGGGTCGCTCGACCAGTGGTGGAAGCTTTTGCTCAGTTGAAGCGATGAAGAATCGGGTGAGAACTCGGGGGAGCGTCCAATTTTGGGCGTTTCTTTTGGCACGCCATGTACTAAGTTCATGTTAGTTCACAGGTTTGGAGTAAGGGGCTCGTCGGAATGGTCTTTCTCAAAAATTGACCCATCGCTAGAGCTCCAACTACCTTCTGAAGATGGTTGGGGTGGGTTAATTTGCGGGGTCCAACCACCGAACCTGACGAGATGGGCTTTCGGATCCCTACAAAATACATTGGGTGCTCTGGTGACTAGATTGACTAGGGAGATCCCGAACCAATGGGTGTTTGTCTAGGTGGTCTTTGGATGTCTTTGGGAGGTTTCCCCCCTTTCAGAATGGCCCCTCGTTGACGCCGACCCATGTGATTAGACCAGACATGACCAGACCGATGTGGGAGATGGAGAACGACGAGAACAGCTTCGTTCGCACCCCTGCAGTGGTTTCAGAGCCCCAAGTTTGGTGCTTGAAATTGGAAACCAATTTGAGAGAGATCTTTGGGTACCAGTGCCATCTACTCTGAGACCACTGTAGCTGGATGATCCCAGGCTGAAAGATGGCCCAGCTGCAATGGAAGCCAAGCATTGATACCTCAGCCACTTGCCAAAAAAAGGCAACCTCTAACAACTGCCTTGAAGGTCTTGTTGGACCTGAACAAGAAAAGACCTCGTTTGCCAGTAGAACTTCTCTGAAGCAAACGGTTGTTCCGTTCTTGCGCCATGAAACCAAAAAATACCACAAGTAGATATTGAAAGCAGGTGACCCTACCTCAGGCCCTACCTCAGTTCCAACAACCTATCTGACTGCCAAAGGAAGTGTGGTGTTCGTCCAGTTTTAGAAATCATGTTGTTGTGTCTGCTGCTTGGAGTGGTGTAACTTGGAACCATGTTTCACCTCTTAATGTCCAACCAGCCCCAAGTTGAGTCGAATCTGGCGAACTGCTGACCGGATCTGATGGGTACATGAAGCAAAAAAGGAGAGAAGCGACACCGAACGGATCCTATGCGTTGGGCAAGCGGATCCGATGATGCAATCCTTTACGGGTGTTTGCCATCCTTTGCGGTGTGGGAATGCATCAATTTCTATTAATTTATATCAAATCGATCTTTGCCGACAGTGGTTCGTTGTTTACAATGTTACAATATCTGCGTGCTTTCACAACAATGAACAATGAACAACGAAAAAACCTCCAACAATGAACAACAATGAACAATATACTGTATGTGCTTTCATCATTCTTGAAACGCACCTCCACAACCGATGATGCAAATCTCTTGTTGTAGGACCTTGGGCCCCTGGAGTGCCGTGTCCGTCTGCATGTCCGAAGGGACCCGTGGAAGGGACACGTGTCCTGCCCAGCAGGAAAACAGGTCACCTTCGGCTCCCTTCAGCCCCCTTAGATCAAATTAGATCAAACATCGCAGGGGTTCCACCTTGTTAACATGTCTTCCTCCTTGCAAGCCCTTAGTCACGGGAAAAGGGAACCAGCGGAATGCAGGGAATCCCACTCTGGAGTGGTTAGTCCTTGCTAGGACTTGCTTGACCATGTTGATCTTTGTTTTTTGCGGTTGCATATACTGTGTGCGTCATCTTGCCTGAAGTCTAGAACATTGGCACCCATTTGGTTTGATTTGTCGTTAGAGCAATTAGGTTCACGTGATGGTTTGTAAATATACCTGGCAAGGATCGCCAGGGCTGAAAACACTGAAGGGCTCTAATGTAGAATGTAGACTCTTGATTAATAACCCCCGCATGTAAAGCAGCGGTTTTTCAATCCAAATGGGGACGGTTTATGAATCAAGAGTCTACATTGTCACAGGTTGGCCTCAGTCCATACCATCCTTGCTTTTCTGGCAAGAAAACCCTCCACAACTTGAGATCAGATCCTCCCCGGTGACTCTGCAAGGTCCTCGGAGGTCAATCGCGCCAGTCTGAAACAGATGTCAGTCAATTCACCACCACATGTCTTTCCTCACAGAGGCTGGCAACACCCAGGAACCGAACTCGTTTCTATGTCGTTGGACTTGGTGGAACCCTTCCGTGCTTTCAGCTTACTTCTATAGTCACAACCGATCCACACTCGTCTTTAAATGCCCCGTTGCGCCCCCCGAAACTCGGCGTGCGGATCGTCACGGTCGCTCCCAAGCTGCGTCTCTTCACCGTGGACGTCAGCACCGGCGCAGCCGCAGGGTCCACGTTGCCCGGAAGGCCGTCCTCGTCCTCGTCCGCCTCGCGAGGTAGAGCACCTGCGCAGCAGAGGGTTTTGCCAGAATCTGAGGCTGTTTCTATCGCACTGTCGACGGTTTTATGGTGAGAATAGAAGAAATATAGGAAGACTCCCTGTGAAAGTGGGCCAGCAGCAGAGATGCTGCCTTTGCTAGCACTTGAAAGAGAAAAGATTGAGGCGCGTAGCCCAAAATCGATTGAGGCACAATTAATGTCTATATAGCATTCATACCCGAAACCACCACCCATATGCAGCTAGGTATATATTGCAAAGAATATACAGCACCAATAGCAGCTCTCACTGTCAACGAGTCATGGTTCAATAGCTCACTTTGTCTGATCGACACCAACACCCGGCAAGATCTACATGGAACCTAGACATGGACCTTTGGAAGACAAGTTTCCTCTATTAGTCTACAGCCGAATATGTTTGTTGTTCCATGTGGATCTCTTCCAGGGCGTAGCTGGGTTTTCCACGAACCCACGAGCCATCCAGGCGCACCTAGCTGCACAGTGCTTCGGACGCCCAAATTGTAGGCTTCGGCCGAAACGTAGTCCAAGACCTGCTGACGTCTCGCTGACGGCTGACCACGGACGGCGAACGACGCAAAAAACAATGAACCATAGAATATCCCTAGCCTTCCAAGACAATGAAGCATAGAATATCCCTAGCTTTCCAAGACCCTTAAAAATATGATTGATCTGGTTGTGTAGTGTAAAATCCTGGACCATTGTGGTCGAAGTTTTTGCATCTTCCTCTACATACCTCCACATACCACTGCAGGTTGCAGACATTTGAAGACAATTGAGGCTCTGTGAAGTAAGCCAGCTTGGGGCCTTTGGACTTCTGAAGTCCTGAGAATCAGGCTTACCCTCCCTGCAACAATCATGGAACTGGACAATGACCCCTCGAAAGACCATGTGTAAAAAAGAGAGCGGAGGGTTATCCCCTAATGTATACGCTTGACTAATAATAAACCCAACCCTTGGATTGAAAAGCGGTGGTTTTACTAATCAAGAGTCTACATGAATTAGGGTAGATCTCGCATGTCCTGAGACCTCTTCTCCACTTCCGTTCGCTCCGTCGCCCGGACTTTCGACCATGGCCCTTCGCCAGACGTTCGGTCGGTCCAGCCCAGCCGCCAAATCAACCTCTGGCGGGATCTGCGCCCGCCGCTCGCGCGCGGTGCGCGGGTGCACGTGGAGACCTGGACCATGGAGACCGTGGCGCCCGTGGAGACGACGTTTCTGGCCTCCAACCTAGCTAGGGGTCATGTCTGGGTTCTGGGTATATCTACTAGCGATGCCCTTTGTTCCTAGTAGCGTCCTCTTGCTCCTAGTAAGGGCCAGGAGCCCCGATCGTAGCGTCCGATCGCTCCGTTCGTAGCGATGGCCTCATGTTTCATATCTAAGGTGCTTGGCTTGACATGTTTGGAGGGGTACACATCTGAAACTAATATGGTAATTACAGCATAATACAGCATGGAATCATGGGGATGATATGATCATGCCAAGAAACCACTGAAATATACATCGGCTGAAACCACCAGTCAAACACTAAAGATTTTAGGCAACGAAACGATACAAACGGAATCAATTGGAACCTCCGTTGTGCTCTGATCAATCGAAATTCGTTGTGCTCTGATCAATCGAAATTCAATCATTTCTTGGTGTCGAGTTTGCAACATATCGACCAGGAAGATATTGCACGTCTATGCACTTGTGACCTCTATGATGCTTGATGATGACCTTGGACTCACATATCTGGCCCGTAGACCAAAAACATCTTGACCCTAGGCTTCCTGGCCCACCAATGATTTAATGGTACTGAACAACCATAGTTTGGTTCTAAGGAGTTTACACTACAAAACCGGGTTTCCTTGTTTGGGATGGTCTTGGAGTGTACATGCCATGGCATTGTCATGGATATCTCAGGACATCTCAGGAGTCTTGGAGTTTTAAGGGAGCCCCAACAAATGCATTGGCAAAGGCTGAGTGTTGGTTCATGCGTCTAAGTGCAGCAATGTCACAGTATGGAATCTATATATGCTTTTGTCATGTGATGACAAAATTTACAAAACCAGCCAATGCTTCATGTTGACCTTGCCCTACTTGTCACAACGGACCTGGCTTGAACCTTGTTGCAGTTTGCGAGCCGGGTCCGTACTTACTGGGGCGAGGCACCAACGCCCAAAACACAGTCTCGCCAATTGCCTCAGCAAAGCGTCCACGGATCTGATCTGGCTGAGTGAATCACTTGGAAACCCGAACAAATGGATATTTCCCCGAACGACCACGACTTGTTGTGGAAAGGACCCAACTTGCCATATTGGAACAACCAGTTGTTTCTGATTCCTTGGGTTTCGAGGAACGTGTCAAGACAACACGCACCGTGCTTGCGCTGGCTATCCATCCCGCAGGGCGAGAACTCCCTCATTTGGCGGCTTCGTCGATCACTTACCCAGACGCGACCAGACTGGAATCGCCGCCCCATCGACCTCCGACACCATCCCGCATGGAGTGTCAGGATTGTCAAACAGTACACTTGGACGGTCCAGAAGGCAACTGGCACATACTGACACACAAAGACACGAGGAAAGGTCTTCCCGAAACATCAGCCACCATTCGCCATCCGATGCTTTTTGGGGATGGTGTCATCATCGTTCTTACCGATCCCGGGGGTTAAAGCGGGGGCAAACCGCAGGCCATTTCGGAAATACCCATCATTTCAAGGAGCTGGGAGGTGTTGTCCTTCCCTTCCCTACAGGTGTTGGGAACTGACCTCATTTTACTGGTGTTGGTCCTCTAAAAACACTACTCAATGAGATGGCCGTGGGTCATGTCACCAGGACACCGACCGGTTGACCTACCCTGGAAGGCTCAGTTCCAGACCCAGATCTATCAGGATGGAACGACCCATCCCGAGAATTGACTGGAACCAGGATTGGACCGAACGCCTCAAACAGGAAGCCATGGAGCGAACGGACCGAACGGCACCCGTCCGACCCCTTCGGCGTTGGAGTCTGGACCCTCCAAGTAACTCGGAAAAGCAGGGTACAAGGACCTGTTTGTATGCCGTACATGTCGCATTTTTCCGCGGTACTTTGGAGGGTCCAGGTATAGTTATTGTTCCTCAGTGGGTTTGGATAGTACGTCATGTTGGGCAACGTTGCCAACTGGGGAACCAACCTCCCTGCTCCGTGACAATCGTCCATCCATGCTTCGACCCACGTCGCCTATGCTGCCAACAATACCAATACAACACATGGGTGTCCGCCTTGAGCTACATGGATGTAGTAATAGCCGCGACGCGGCACTTCGTCACAGTCTCTTACGGTAAAACATGCCACGGCCAGAATGGATGGACGCAATAAAGAGAAGATAAATCATAAATCCAACGTGGCTTACGTCCAAGTCCAAAGCCCTCCTCCCGTCCGAGGAAGAACGACCCATGTCCTGCTCACGCCTCTGCCCTGGGCTTTTCGAAATCATCGTCTGCCCGTCCGAGGTGCTCAGCATGGCATAGCCTCGGGTGTGCGTGTGCTCCGGGTTCGTTTCGCTGTGAAAAGGAAAACAAACACATGGAATGAATTTGGGTATAGCCTATGACCAGGCCCCAATGGATGATAATGGTTAGATTCCAGATGATTCCAGGTCTTTCTCAAAAAGAGTGATCATCTTTGAGTACCAACTCTTGCTGGTAATGGGCTACACCACAGATAGACTGAAGAAGCAGTACCCGTACCCGGAGTAAACAGGTTTGTGACACAACTCACGTTGGAAATGCATTGTTTATCATTGTCTGTTGTGGTTGGTGATGGTTGGTCGAGGAGTGCAGTCTTGCAGGAAACTAATTGTCTGCTTCTATGATACATGTTCAACGCAATTCATGCAAAGCGAAAGGCCCATGGCTGTGCTCGCACTCTACCACACCAACAACTACATGGAACGCTAATGAACTGCCACTGTATTTGGACTTCTAGAATCCAGAACATCTTCAAAGCAGCCCAAATCGACGCCTACTGCTTCTGATGGTCTCCTTCCTGCATCAACTTGGAACCTATATGCTATGATCGTAGCTCCACTGCAAACAACACATGTTCATTGATGTTCTCTTGTTTTCCCAGTTGGACTGAAGGCCTCAGTCAAACCACCCTCCCACAGCTCATGCAGTTGAAGACGCTTCCCACATGAAAAAAAATGCAAAGAATCCTTCAGTGGCCGGGTGACAGACCTGCTCCTCCATGTCTTCACGGCCCTTCTTTTCCGCCTCCGTCAGGGCCGGCTCGAGGGTCTCGTCCAGCACGCACGCCGCCTGCGCGCCATGGACCGGCGACACGGGCGCCGCTGTAGATCCGAGGGCGGCCGTTTGGGAGATCAGAGGAGTTTCGGAGAGAAACGTGGGGATGCTTACAATGCGAACACATGTGTTTGTTTCAAGAAAAATGCTTGTTTTGTGATGGTATTTGTAACTGATGGTGGCTTCTATGTGTGTTGCTATAAAGTCTGTGTGGGAGCTGTTGGGGAAAATCTTGGGAGCTATTCAAAAAAGATGTGAAAGCTATTAGCTAATTATTTGCTGAAAAATATGATAGAGGAAACTGCAAGCATCCATGGCACCGACCCACCCCTGCCAGGGCGCAACACAGGCTGCAGGCAGCATATTTTCCTTGCGAGCCTTGAGTCGTCACCAAAGTGTATTGATAGGCCTTAAGCCCATAGGCAGACAAAGCTGAACGTGGAGGTTCTGAGACAATCTCCCCCTGAAAACAGCTGACCGGTTGACCACGCCACTTGCCTCTCAGCAGTACTAGTACCGACTCAGTGTGAACACACAAAAAGTTGAAACTCTAAGAATCTAAGAGTCTTAGAGTCGTGCAAAACTCACAGCAGTGCGGTCAGGTTAACGTCAAAGTCGAGTAGTCAGACAGTCAATGTCAAAGTCTCTAAACTCAAAAAGTCAGAAGAACCCCAACTTCTGACAAGCAAGCCTGGCAGCCAGGCACAATGACACACTACCCGGACCCCCCGACCTCCCTAAACCCTCACTCACTTCTTCCTTTTCTTCTTGTCCTTGTCGGGCTTGTTGTCCTTTGCGTTCTCCTTCCTCTTTTTGCCCTTGCCAGGCTTCTCATCACCAGGACCACCCGCACCAGGATCGCCACCTGCATCGTCACCTTCACCCTGAACATTGCCAGAGTTGGTGCTGCCACTGGCACTTCCTTTGCGCCTGGCTGATGACTTGAGATCGTCCTTGAGACCAGCCGCCAAGACTTCGTTGATCTGACTCACGAGCTTTGCCTGGTAAACAGGTGGCAGCTGGCAGGAAAACAACAAAGAACCCCGCGGCTTCCCTGAACCCGACGGCTGACCAATGGGGTCAAACTCAAACGGTCAATCAAAAAGACCCAAGACTCAGACTAAGACCCAAATCAAATTCATCCAAATTCCCAAATCAACAAGTTCTAAAAATCAAAACGCGAGATGCTGAGATGTTTAGCAGGTCAGCTTTTGTGACACCCAGACTTGAGCTCAAGAATTTCAAGCACTTGTTGGTTGCTTCACGAAGGTCAACCTTTGGCTCAGGGTTGAGGAACAGGCTAGCCGCTGTCATTGTTGCCACCGTCATTGCAACGTTCTGGCGAAGCACCTGGCAAAATCTAAAGACCAAATGAAGACTGTTTCTGAACCTGAAACGCCAACAATTGAAGCCTTTTTGGAGTTTGGTTTGGAGTCTTGACTTTTGGCGAGTCTGGGGACTGGTGTCTGAAAAGAAAAATAAAGTAAGTAACAGAATAGTACATAATCATAGTACCGATAACAGAATCAACAGAAGGATACAGAAGGACAAACGATGACACATCCCCGCACACGAAGCCTTCACCGATTGAATGGGCTCAACCAGTTGGTTACACAGTGCATTGAACTGCTCAGAGCAACGCTGGGATTGGGCCACCATGATCCTATCCAAATACTTGGCATCATCGGTCAGCTCAACCCTCAGCTCAAGAAGCATTTTCACATCGCAATCCAAATCCTCCTTGCTGCCAAACATCCACATAACTCCCTCCATTTGCCAAGAGCGAGCGGCCTGCTTCACGGGCCTCACTTGATCAGTGGCGGACGGGCGGGCGTCAAGTCTTGAGCCTTGAATCCCTGAGCAAATGATAACTGATCAAACTGATCAAACTATGATTCGCCAAATCACCAGGGCAAACAGAAAACATGGGTAGGCGGTGGGGTCCGGTGGGGTGGTAGAATGTCCTAAGTTAACCTGCTTCCCACGTTCTCTCCCAAAAAAACAGCCCGGCCCGGCCCCCTTTTGGTCATTGCTTTTTGTTCTGAGTTATGTTATGTTATGAATCCGAGTTGCTCATACTTGTCCGCCAGCATCTTGAATTGGTCTGCATTTTGCTGAAAGCTGGCGCAAAGATCTTTGAACCGCAGGTCGAACTCTTGCTGAAAGTTCTTGCAAGCTTCGATTGAGGAAGGTGAAATGGCCTCCATGAGGTCTGCGTCCATGGAACTCACCATCACATACTGTGAAAGGACATCGGCCAGGCCTGCCAACGATGCCTCCGCCAAATCCTTGGAGCGGCTCTCAATCTTGCTGACCTCATTGACAAGTTTGCAACTCGCCAGAGCATCTTTCAAGCGCGGTGTGGGGCTCACGATGGCCTCAGCTGCGATTTCAGAAAGCGGTTTGGCAGATTCGCTGGCACTGCTGGCGCTTGCCATGGCCTTGAGCCACTTCAGACCAAGCACATCCAACTGCTCGCGCAATCTCTCACAAGCGGCCTTGATATCATTGTGAATCCGTCCATACGTTTCCTCGGCATCCTTGTCAGCGGGAACTTGAGCTGGAATGGAATTGGAAATCTTGTTCAAATCTGCATGCAAGCTGGTGCCAAGCTTGAGAGATTCCAAGTCCGAAACGCTGCCATCATTTGCCTTGCCTGCTTCCTCCCAAGCGGTGGAGAAGGCAAAGACGCGCTCAAGGAAATCCTGCAACTGAGTGAGGGGGACAGTATGCACCTCCTTCAACACTGCCACGATAAGGCCTGATGGGCGGTACTGGCATGTGGTGCGGTCTGACACTCACTCACACTCAAACTAACCCACCCCACTCACCCACAAACACGAGAAACCTTCTTCTTAAAGCAAAGTTCAAGCTTCCTGCCGTTTTCACGCCTTGCAAGTTCTTGTGATCAGCTTCGGAGACCTCGACCCTGAAAGATGGATCGGGTTTGTTCACCCAAAGACCTCGCACCCAAGTCATCAAAGTGCCAAAGGTCGTGGTCCCATGCGAATCCACCAGAGCAAACAAGCCATCCAAGGCTGAGGTGAGTGACTTCCCCATCTCTGACATTTGTGAGTCATCCGCAGACCCCAAATCTTGGGCCACTGCTCGTAGACGCATTGGCACCATCTCCTCCAACTCCTTGATTTGAGCTGGATCTTCGATGACAGGCAGCTCTTCCACTTTCAAGTCCTTGTGGGCCTCCACAAGTGAGATGAGGAGTGGGACACACTTCTTTGCCGTCTCCTGCATGGACTGCATGTCCATGGCATCCTTGCCCACTGACAAGACCTTTTGCCAAAGCTGCCTGGGCATGAACGCTGCGCAAACAACTCTTGCAAAACATTCAAATCACCACAATTATCCAACCCGTTTTCAGATTCCATCGAACCCGTGTTTTTAAATATATAGTATATATTATTATTTATGGGCTCCCGACTCCGTGAAATATGCTTAAGCATCATGAATGACTGGCGAGGCACTTCAGAACTGGACATTGCCGGACACCAAGTGTCATCCGACTGCTATAGAGAGTGCAGCTGCCAATGTCCCTCAACCATAGCTTCCATGAATTTCCGATGGACTGAAGGGACTGGTTTTGCAACTCAATCGAGCGAATGTAAGTGCACGCCACAATTTTTTGCAGGTCAATGAACGCCTGGATGCTCAACCCAGTTTCCTCATCCAATTGCTGACCCGCACCATTGAATCCAGTCCTGTAGCAGGGACCCAGGGACCGATATCAAATTATTGACTCACACAAGCCAGCCAACATACATTGAACTGAACATTGAACACATTGTCACATTGTCGTGATGGTTCTGAAGGATTCGAATCGGAAAAAGAATGCTTTCTTAACAGTCGCAGCCAAACCCTTGCCTGAGTTTTTCTGCAGAGGACATCACCTCACGGGGTGGAATGCTTTGGACAATGGAATCAAACTTCTCAGAGGGCATGTTCCGCATGGCATCCATCCAGAGATAGAGGATAGCGGCTTGGTTCTTTGCCAAGATATTGTCCATCACGTCAGAGGCATTGTGCAAGCTGGCAAAAGAGAACATGCTGCAACCAAGCCAGCCCTTGCGGACGGAAATCAACGTGAAAATCTCCTCGGGATTGTTCGCCTGAACGGGTGGAACTGGTTTGTTGCTATTCATCGATATGGTCAATAAGTCAAGTCAATATCAAGATCACAAAACATTGAATTCACAGTAAATTAAATCAATCATTACCTTCAGCAACAGCACTACACTAGCATGTCAATGGAATGGGGAGCGGTCCTCGACCACTTTCTGGCCGATGAATGCTATGATTGCGGACTGCGTGTCGGGGTCTACACTGAAATCACCACTGTTCAGGGCATTTGCCAAGGCAGTGTGGAAGGTCGCATCCCTCAGCTCCTCCATCACCTTCTTGCTCTTGAGCTTGGCAATGATCTCCTGGAAAATCCCAATGCCATCAACTGTATCGGAAATTTTCTTGAGGATCCGTCCGCAATCCTCTCGCTGACTGTTGTCGTCTGCCAAGGTCGCCTGGAATTTCTCCACATCAGTAATTGATTGCCCCGCTTTCTTGAGACGTGACTGAATCTCATTCTCACGGAAGGAGTTCTTCCAGATGGTAAAAGGCGTGATCTGCTGAACTGCTTTCAGGTTTTGCTCTGCGGTTTGCAGCACTTTTGACTTGCCCAGGCCCTTGTCGTCCTTCCCCTGCCCCTTCCTTTCTCTGTCTCTGCCTTTGGGGGGCTTTGGACCACCGCCGCTGCCACCGCCGGTACCAGGTGACGGGCCACCAGACTCATGCGGAGAGGGTTTTGGCGACTGAGCCCGAACAGGAGAAGCGTCATCAGAATGCTTGGGATCTCCTTTTCCCCTCATGCGACGCTTCTTCTGGGGGGAGGTGGCCAGCCCCAAAGCACTTGAGTGGCTGCTGCGGTCACCATCATCATCGGACTCTCCGCTGCCTCCGTCAAGCTCCTGCTCTGTCGCAGCAGCAACCTCTGCCTATCAGGAAAT